TTGTTCCAGCAAGGTTCAATTGAATTGCAAGTAGATATTGCTCCTTCTTTCTCAGGCCCGGTGAGGAAATCTGCTGATCTTAGGTTGGTCCCAGCATCTACTAAATGTACAGCAGCGCCATCTTCTAAGTGTAATACATCGACGTAGACGGTATGATTAGACGGTACATCTTTGTTAGTAAGTGTAAACTTGAAACGAAGGGGCCGATTAGCATTTAACTGACAGTCTTTGCAAAACTTGGATATTTGATTGATTGTTTTAATGTCAATGTTGTGACCAGCTTGTTGGAAGATCTTCCACATTCTTGTAGCAGTAGGATGTCCCCATCTACAATGGCATGTCTTGATTTGTTGCTCTGTTAAGTAATAAATAGGATAATGGTCGGCTTTGTAAATAAATAATGACTGAAAGTGACTGAGAGTCATCCATAAATGACCGTATTTTTGAATGAGAGCTGCTACGGGCCTTTGATCCTTCATCATGGCGTTTTTTAGTACATCTGGAGTAAGGCCTAGACGAGTCATATCTTGTAGGCTAAGCAAGAAATGTGTGTTGCAAGGTAAAATATGAAAAGTAACTTTGCAAATGGGCGTATCAAGGTTAATAGAACCAATAGAAACAAATACACCATTCCCAATTCCCGAAATTTTTACCTCTACTGCCCTTGTTTTATCAACCTAAAACTCCTTTAGAATTTGCTGTAACGCTCTAACCTGTCCGACTCCAACTGTAGACCACCCAGCAGCGCCTGTATCAATTAAAACTCCGTGAAAGATTCGTTTGTGGTATCTGTCATTCTTAGTAGTTTGCAAAGAAAAAATCTTCCCACCTAAGTGAACTTCTTCTGCCGTTTCTAATCCAAATCAAGAAAGTTACTATTGAGTTCCAAATCAAAATTAAATGAGTCAATTGTAAAAATACTCCCTTGTTCCTGCTCAGATACTGCATATTTCATCCTAGGTGCTGTGAACTTGTGTCTAGCAATTTTTTCTTGAAGATAGGCCACAGAATTTATTTCCGCCAATTTCATCAATGAGATGTTGATTGGCATTAGTATTGTACCAGTTCTCATCGCTGGCTTCAGCTTCATCAGGCTGGTCTTGAATAGTTAAGAACTGATGTAACTCCGCATCTATGGATTGTCCTTCGAATTGGACAATGAACTGCCAAACAGCACCTTCATCTTTTGACAGGTAGATCTTCTCAATTTTTTGAAATGCTGCCCGTCGTTCTTCTGCAGAGTGATTTTTCGACCAACAATTTGCCTTCTTACAAATTAAACAGTGCTTAGCCCAAGATGTTGAGGCACTTGACTCTTTTATTCTACTAAAGTTTTTGTCTCTTTCATAAAAATGTCTATCACTCCGGCCTCTTCCAGATCCCCGAGCAGTTTGGTAATGACGCTCTGCTAGGTAGGCATTATCAGTTTCCTGAAACTCATTGAATTCCTGCTGCGGGTATTGGCTGGTGGCTATACCTGATGAAGAAAGTTGCATGAAACGAGCTCAGATATTGGCACTAACGCCTTCAGCAGTCTTTGCCGGGGAGAATAACACAAATTGTAAATCGACCACTCCAGAATAGGCATTGATAATCCTAGTGCGTAGAGCTGTGTCTCCTGAATGTGCTTCCAGTCCTCTTTGAACGCGTCTTAACTCTCTTTCGAGATTATTAAATGCTTGGAGCTTGTCTGGGAATTTTCGAATTTCTTTGATCAGATTGAGAGTATTCTAGATCGTTTCCCGTCTATTTGCCCATTGGATTGTCTCGTAGTGTGACTTTATTAAATCACAATGCTCGTCAAATGACATTTCCTCAATGTGCAGTGTTAAGTCTAGGTATTTTTCACTAGCATCTCCGGCAAACATTATATCTAATGCATCTTTAAAGTATCTTTTCTCGACACAAGCATTGTTACAATTATTGAAAAATATTTTTCGCTTGTAGTCAAAACTGTCAGTCCCATCTCTATATTTATCCTCATCTTTGTTCATTCTGACAAGAGACTCCAATTGCCTACTTTTATAAAGCGGACAATCCTCCAATGGAAGAGAATTTTCTTTTTGTGGGTATGGTTGCTGTTTTGGTGCAGATGACAAAGAGCGATTGTCTCTTTCATTACTACTGCCTCCATATTTATTTCCCTTGTCTCCATGACTTGTAGGATTGCTGTAGGTTTCTTCTTCTTTCTCCTTAACTGGAACATCTCTATTTTCTTCTTTAATTTCCCTGTAGATGTTTCCTTTCGTCCTTTCATAATCTAACGCTGCTTGGATTGTACGTTCGTATTCCTTGTAGCTTGGGTCTTTTTGGTCGCACTGTGAGCTTACCCCTAATGGGTTTTTCTTTTGATGTAATGCAATTTCTTCGGGAGTCCATTCATGGAAATCGTCTCTCTTAACTTCTGCTGCAAGTTGTTGATCAATATGTTTTCCCTTTGGATTTGGTGTCATATAAATTCCTCGAGAAATGAGATAATCTCGGAATTCTCTCCTGAGTTCCGAGTCAACTTTACTAAAGAGATCAACATCCCAGTCCTCGAAGTCTTCTACCCATCTTTCCCATAGAGGATCATCTCGTACACCTTTCGCTCTATAGAGATCCAGTCTATTCTGAACATAAGTTGTTATTGCTTTGTCAGAGTCGAATTTAAGTGGAGTAGAAGAGAATGGCTTGAGAGACATTATTTGTTTGATTTTTGCGTGATACATGCAAAGAAAGACTAGGGAATTTCTCCTGGTTAATGCTTGAATAAAAGAGTGCGTTAATGGACGCGGAAGTAAGAAGAGCGAATACTTAATACTTCTTAAATTTGGCACGTCGGAGCTCAGTTCAGACAGGGTCGACGACTCCAAGGGACCTTCCTTCGCATGAATACCGCGTACGGATCTGTGACCAATAATTTATATCACTGATCAGTGTCGGTTTATCACCGGTTCTAGTTAATGTGCTAGCACAAAGATTGGGCAAAATGGTTATTGATCAAAACGTATATTTATATCTATCTCTGTATCTAACAGGAATAATGAACGGAAGTAAACCCCAACGCCGCAGTGACACCACGTGACTAATATCCGTAAATTTCCCCATGGCTTCTCTACCAACGCCAATATTCACACAAGAAGATGTGGACTTACTTGGAAAGGGGTGATGTACCGAAGGATAAAAAGGTACTATCTGGTAAGGTTGTGATGAAGACCAAAAGGGATAAGGAAGGGAATATATTAAAGAGGAAGGTTCGCTGGGTCGTTAGGGGATTCGAACAGCTGTATGGACGGGATTATACCCAAACCTACGCTGGTGTTTGCCGTAGTGCTTCATGGAAAATTGCAATTGTCATGGCCGCGAATTTTGATCTTGAAATCGATCAGATGGACGCTGTTACTGCTTTCTTAAACAGCAAAACTGATGACAATATATACGTCGAACTATCTCCTTTGTGGAAAGAGCCCGACTCAGAGGAATTGGATGACCCAGTATGCAAGCTCTTGAAAGCCTTGTATGGATTAAAGCAAGTGCCGCGCATCTAGCAAATTCACCTTCGGTTGAAGCCGTCTGAAGTTGGTCTCAAACCACTGAAATCTGATAATTGCATCTACCGACAGAAAATCTATGGAATTATAGTAGTGACATACGTCGATGATTTCCTCATCATTGGGAGGGATCGGTCTAAGATTGAAAAACTCAAAGAAGAGTTACGCAAGGAATTTGATTTAGAAGATCTTGGAGCGGCCAACTATTTTCTCGGCGTTCGAATTATTAGAGATCGCTCACTAAAGCGAGTTTAACTATGTCAGGATGCTTACATCAGGCAGATTCTTGAGCGGTTTAGCTTGGGAAATCGTGGTACAGTCGACTGTCCATCAGCTCCAGGTAGTTATGTTCACATGGTAAAATATGAGGGAACTGCCTCTGCCTCCGAAATCTCCGAATACTAGTCCAAAATTGGTTCCTTGCTTTATCTTGCTGTTCATACACGACCAGACATCGCATTTCAGTGCTCAACACTCTCTAGATTTCTCACCAATCCATCTCCTCAGCACATGAAAGCTGCCAACCGTGTTTTCCACTATCTTGCTGGTACTATCAACCTTTGCATTGTGTACGATGGCATGCTAGGAGTCCGTCAAAGTAAACTCCATTCCTTCACAGACTCTGACTGGGGAGGATGTCGTTCTAGTAGAATTAGCACAGGTGGTAGCGCATTCTTCCTGGCTGGCGGCATAATATCTGCATCAACCAAGCGTCAAAGCAGTGTCTCACTCTCTTCAACTGAAGCTGAGTATTATGCCGTAGGAGCATGTGTTCAAGAATTGCTTTGGATTCAGCAGATCATGAGACAGATGCTATACAAGGGAAATGTCGGTTCACAGGTGAATGGCGTAGGGATAAAGGGCTTGTATTAAACGTTTGCTTCCAAAAGTATTGGTCAGCTTATCACGTGATATAATTAGGGCGCCAGGCTTTATTTCTTACTTTAGATATTAATGCTTGAGGAGGGATACAAGAAAAGATAGACAGAATATACCACTTGTTTTTAGCACTTTTGAGGCATTAAACCAAGTGAACTCCGTTGTACCAACAGGAAACGACATAGTTAAGACCCGAGTAAGTTCTGACAACCAAAGCTCCATAGCACTTTCAGAAAATCCTGAGTTGCATCATCGTACTAAGCATATTGACATAAAGCACCATTTTATTCGAAGTCATGTAGCAAATTGTTCAGTTGATCTCAAGTATATTTCGACTAAAGAGATGGCCGCAGAAGGTCTAACCAAACCTCTTTCAGCCGCTGCACATAAAGAATTTGCTAAGATGCTTCATATGAAGTAGTATGATATTCAGGGTTAAATCTTTAATTTCAGCGACTTTCTAGCTGAAGGGGCGTCTTATGAATCAGCATGAAAGCCTCTAGCGTAAGGCTATCGTCTTAGCACTTGCATATAGAGAAATCTCGTCTAGTATCCCATTACATTATACAACTGAATTCTATTTGACATTTACGAACTCACACAGAGCGTCACAGAGACTGTGTGTAATACATCAAAGCAGTAAAGAGCCTTGGCAACTGGCTGTAAAGTTGTAGGCGCTACACTACACTCTGTCGTGTAATTAGAAAATTGCCTTGCACACCTTGTGGGGAATAGCCAGGGCAAAGTCACCAGGACAGTAAGCACTGGCATCCATGCTTCTAGTTAGTTAAGTGAGTAGTAGGGACCTAAGCCAAGGCTTGGCGCCCCGACCGACTAAAAATAGAAAACAAACAACAAATTAACCTGGCAAGGGCCCAAAGTAGTCTAGCGATGCAAATACGAAGTGAGCACATGGAGCTCAACTCGTATTTGTGCAGAAGAAAAGTACCCGAAGTATTAAGTCCTGGTTGTCCATGTGGCTATTGTTGTGAGATTAAGGATCGATAGGGATTTCGGACTGCTGGAGAGGAAGAAAGAGTAGTATTCGAGCATAGGAGCAGGTGAACGGAGCTTTAGGTGTAAAGCTGCGCAGTTGACGAGAGGAGCGACGAATATAGCCTTTAGAGATATTCAGTTAAAACAATGAAATAAAATATTTGTCACGTTCTCTTGGGACTTGGTGTTAGAGATTGTTATGAATATATCAGATGTAATCTGGACGCAGTGGTACAGGGGCTACTTTCTTAATTCGGTTAGGGCTGAGGCAATGAGATTTAGATTTGTTCAGGCTGGACATTTCAGATTAGCTCTCATCTAACAATTTAGTTTTTGGACTATTTGCTTACTTGGAACTCGCTATTTAGATAATATGATAATTTGAACATATGAATTCGTGACCTTTCAAAATCAGAGCCTCGATTACCTTATTTGTCTCTTCGTAATCTATTCGCACCTTCACACCTTCGTAACTTCGGACCTTCGATAATTTTTCTTCGTCGGAATCGACTCGGCCTCTGCAGCTTAACAGCTTCAAAAATCTACCAACAAGCAGATTCATTACAGAAATATTTCGAAGAACAAGGATACAATTTCGGACAAGGATTAATTGATAGTTGTATAGGATATCAAACTCTCTTCTTAGTATGAATTAATAATATATAATGTTCCGCTAACTTAGCTTAACATACACAAATAAGTCTATCCTTAAATACAGATCTTCGAGGCTTTGGTGATCCCGAACTACAAGTAATCTAGCAACAAACAGCCACTCAATTATCGCAAGGAAGCATTTTCTAGCCACTGCATTTCAGATACCACTGAACCTCATGTCGCCCAGCTAAGCTTATCCATATGTAATCGAATCAATCCAATTGATCTTGATGATCATACCTAGAAATTTAAACCTTCACTCATACTAATTCTAGATTTCCAACAACATATGCAATAGACGGTAGTCAGTAATATTTGATAAATTTCTTGTTAAATATTCGCACAGATTTACTCGAAGACCAAGGCTTCGAATAGTGCTAGGGGCAGTCTAAAAATAGGATGGGCCATATTTGCTTCGGTGGATAGAGATTGGAAAAGACAGATCTGGTCAATAAGACAAAGATTAGCTTAGGTCATTTTGGAGTTGCAGGAAATTACCTCTTGATTGATTAGTTCAAGGAGTTCGGGCGATGCGCAGGTGTAACGGCTATTAAGCCTAAGGATTCCTGTAGCCTACGATGGCTAGCGTAGGCAATAAAAGCAAGGGAATCTTCGGGAAGGATCTTGAAATACAAGGAGATTAGAAGATTATCAATGAACCTTCTTGAAGCTCACTAAAGGATCATGAGGATAATAGGTGTATCAAGAATCTTCTAGGGAATGGTACAAGAGTCCGTATTATTCTAGTTACAGGGAGAACCTTACAGAAGAGGAGTATCTTTGAGTGTATATATATTTTTAGTCTAGCTGTAAAAATTCTCTCTCCAGAGGATTACAATTAACATACTGTACTTACACTATTGCTCATGCATTTTATACTGAAACCGTGACAGCAGGGCACTTTATCCAGGCATTGAGTTTATGCTCGGATTTTTTCTAGTTCACAGAGAATCCGTTGGTTGATTCTTAATGGACTAGTTGATTAGAATATCATCTAGCATATTGAGCTCCTCCCTGAGCCAGTCCACACTTGGTAAAGTGCCTCTATCCTCTGTAGACACGAGAAAATGTGTTTGAGCTGAGAATCGGTCGTGAAGATAGAACTAAGTATTCGGGATCAACTACCCGTGTATATTCCGTTGCATGTGAGGTATATGCCTGAAATTCCAAATGTTGTAATGGAAATTTTGTAGAGAAGCTTAAGCTGTTAGACTTACATTTCATATCACCCAGTGATGCGAGTTGTGAGATTGAAGAGCCTGAAAACTTAAGTGGAGAGTTTTTAATTAAGCCCACTTAGTATCAGAGCGCTATTTAAACTAATCACTACATCTAAGTGAAGGACACGATTCACATGTTTATGCTAGATAATTGGGAGGCTGGTCAATGTGTGGATCCTGAAAAGATCTACATTGTCACGGGTTGGTCAAATTTTGGATGTATGGCACATAGACAAATTGCTAGTGTCTTATGGTCTCACACGATCAGATCGCACAGTCACAAGAGCAGATCCCACTGGAGCTGAGGGGTAACAGAGTATTGATGTATATAGGCGCATAGATATCCTACATTTAGGGACAGATAGGAATTCACGTATTAGTCTCAAGCTCTACACAAGATCCATTGTAGTTAGGAGCCACGAGACACCACGTGATAATATCTCATTCTTACGCACACACACCCACAATTTACTAGGTACACAACGCACGCCCAGAAACCTCAAATGTATGAGTTGTCATGAATGTAGCTAGTAATAAAAGAACCTTATTACGTTACATGTTAATGCGACTCTTCATTGCCAAGTAGCACCAATTTCAACACCAAAGCTATTAAGCCAAATAATGAAGGGCGCAAGACAATATTTCCTCGTTATCATTTGAACGCCTCTAGTTACACGCAGAGACTACGATAGTGCGGCCTTGAGATGAAATACAACCTACATACCTACACACAGCTGATAGTCTGTCGAGATACTTCGGCGGTGAAGTTTTATCAAGTTTCGTCCGGGCAACAATCGAGCAGAGTTGTTTGGATTAGGTTGTAGTTGGCAATTCCTAACCTAATTGTGTTTTTTTTTTTTTTTTTTTTGCATCAGATTTTAATCGCGTATGCAGCTATCTAGCTATGACACAATATCAAAGAAAATTACAGAAAATATGACTCAATTTACAAGAGTAGCACTCATGCCTCGGATTTCATTTGCAAGTACCACTGCGAAGTTATGGTGGCTTTTTCTTCACCCCAAGTCAACCCTCATCCGTGAATACCCACCCAGGAGAACGTCTCAAAAACCCTGAGTTTTCCAGACATGCCTCCATCATCTTTCAACTTTTCTCCGCGCGAAATGTAATCTGAGATGTCTCCTTCCAAAGTGGAGTAGGTACCCAGGCTACTCAAACTACACCAGAGAACACCACCTGGAGGCAGACTACAACACCTTCCATCGTTTGCTTGTTTTTATGGTGTCAGCTGCACTCTCGCAAGCGAAGTCTTGGCGCGCACAAAGCTCAATTCGTAAAACTGCTTGACAAAATTCGAAATTTCACTTCCTTCAAGGTTATATCCTTCCTTCACATCATCTTGTAAACTTGTCCTGATCCCTCTCACGTCCATCCCAAAGAACTGTCTCCCAGATTTGTGCGCCACGCTTTGCTTCCTCCGTCGGGTATAAATATCGGCGTTGGCGTGTATTTAGTGACCGGCTGAGGCCAGAGAAAGTCGACGAGAGGTATGGTCATTGAAACAAGGATGTACTAGGTCGTACTTGTAGACTTGATAAGACTTAGGTAGACGTCAAACTCGTTGGGAGCGGAAAAACGACGTGGTGGAGTAATTTTAAATTTTGCCTCGTGGGCCAACTTCTTTGATATTGCGAAATTTGACTGAACCTGGCTCTGGGAGAATATTTCACTCCCAGGTTCGTAGAGGACACCGCGTACAGATGTTCAGTCTTGCCCTCCTGTTATTATATTGTTATGTTGGTAAAGTAGTTACCTCGTGTGTAATGTTGGTAAATAGCTAGGATCAAGGCCTCCAAGTGTATAATTACCGCAGAGCTCGTGAGAAGTACTAGACTCTGATGGGAGGTGTCTGGGAGGCAAAAGTATCTGTCGGAATGCTTAGGTGGTAATTTATATCACAAGCTTGATGTAGCAGTAATAATTATTGTACATGTAAAAAATGATCTTTCCCCCCCCTGTCTTCCTAGAAGGAAACATCTATAAACCGTAAAACACCGTCTCCTAACGCCATTCCCAAACGGGTACCTCATTACTCATCAACACAATTAGTCATTAGTTCTAAGGAAATACATATTAATCATTGGATCGTTAAGTCATTAAACAGTATCTGTTACCAGGATGCAGATGATGATTTCTTCTGACAAACAGTTCCTTACAGAAAAATGAATATTTAGTATGAAACTAAAGCAAACATTGACACCCAACTGATATTTTCTATGCCTCTTGACCCTAGGCCACTAGACTTACAAATCACCCAGGCATTCACTGTACCACTGGCCAACGAACGACTTCATCAACAAAGTCTTACAAATTGCGTCCCATGAGCTCAAGGGAATCGAGGTAAAAATAGCGAAGCTAGCGCGGCGAAATCGGAGCTAGTGTTGAATACTAACTTGCAGTTTCCTGAAGAATTGGCCTGACAAGACTCCCCTGGGATTTTGGAATGACAGGGTGACAAGACAACTGGAATTTCATATACCCTGAAGAACGATGGCCCAGCGGGCAGAGAATGTATATTGCAACCGACACTTGAGATACTGGCAACAATGGAAGGTGTTTTGGTCCGCCTCCTGGTCGTTATCTCCCCGAATAAAGGTGTGAGTAGCCTGGACAACTACCTGACTCGAGAAAGGGAGGACTGTGAGGCCATATCTCGCGCAGTGGCTATACACAGATGATAAAGGCATGATAGCACAGCCAAAGGTTTTTCTTGTTTTCCCTTTGGTGGATATTAACGGTTGATGGAAGGGTGAAAGTCCCTAGCAACAAGGTCTCGAGTGGTATCAGCGAGCGCAACCACTACATGAGTAGTCCAAATGTTAAACTGAGTTATCGTCGTATACAGTCGTCAGGGAAGGAATAGCCTTCTCCGTGTCATGC